GTTAAAATTAACGCCAACGAATTTTGTGCCAAAACTTCTAGTAAATACGTTATTTCTTTGAGCCTGACTCACACATTGATTACAGGGATATTATCGGAGCATTTAGGATACAACATGTCTCTTGTATCCAAAATTGCTATGTTAAAAAAATGTGCGCCAAAGCTTGTTCTCGTTCCTCCACGTCTCTCAGATTCCATACACGTGCGAAATTTTGAAAGAAGATCGTCCCTAAGTATCATAACTGAGTAGTTAGATGTGTTACAGCATCGGTTTGAAGGCTCGCGGTTGCGAATGGATGTTGTGTTTGTCTACATATTATTATGTAAGCTCTAGATTGGTGAAAACTCAAATAGATCCATCGCGTCACTAGAGCTGCTTTAATCAGTAATGAGTTACCAGTAGATAAACATGTGAAATAGTTCGATGTTGGTACACCAGGGTCAGTATAAAGAGTCAAAGTATGCCTAGTGTCCAGTCTTCACCTCCCCACTACTACCGCTACTGTTAGCATCAAAAATGTACAAGATAATACATTTTTGATGCTAGATTAACTGGGGACTTTCTAGCTTCCACCGCACAGAGAAAACTTGTCACAAATCTCTTCGCCCAGATGTAGCGAAGCAAATCTCCAGCCATTGACTATTCAGTAAAGCTTTGCGGATAGGTTGCGGAGTTTCTTTTCAGTCAAATGTCGCAGATTCATCTTATGAGGCAATATCAACGCACCTTTTGTTAAAGCATACTTTCCAAATATGGATTTTCAAAAAGTAGTCAATAATGAAGAATGGGTTAGGCATATGGGAATTGAACTAGATAACAGCTTTTTTCGTCACGAAAAATATAATATCCAACAGCTGGCCCTTTATGAAAAACTTGAAGTAAGATGTGATGCTTGTCGGGAGAGGAGAGGAGCTGAATTATAACAAACATTAATCCAATTGAGTAAATGTTAATGCATCTAAGACGGAGGAATATGATACACATTCAAACGATTCTGCTGAAATTGATAGACGGGATTTCGCAAGAAGCCATCAAATTTGCTTCCACCCAGTCTCATGCTATAGGGCTGCTTCCTTAGCTAATAGTGTAAAGTTTCACGCCAGTAGAGTTTGCTATCTGGTCGTAGATATTATCTTGTAACTCGACCTAGCATATTTTTAAATCCTTTGTCTGTGTGCTCTTTTAGAACGAACGTATCTCGTCAATAGCTGGTTGGAACCTTCCGACATTTAACCTCAACCCTCCCGGGGTATCCCTGCAGGCTAGCTGTGTTAATGCTAACCGATATGACCGCTCCTTCACAATAAAAATGGAAAACGGTATATTAAGAGACTTTTTAAATTCTACCTACCTAGAATAGTTCAAAATTCATAAACACTTAAATGTAACGTATTATGTATATATAACTTTGTGGATATTCTAGTGCTTAAATAAGACCTTACATTTTTATTTTTTCGATGAATTCATAAACACCTATGTCACCAAAGAGTTCCTTCTAAGCCATCTGTTTCAAAGTCACCTGGCTTTCGTCCTCTGTCAGCTATCGGTTGATTCTTTATAACTTACGGGATCCACGGGCGTCAAATTGTTGCGCTGTAAAGGAACGCGCGTTCAGCTTTACATTGGTCTAGATGTATATGCTACACGCGCCAACGCTACTTAGGCTTTGACTTTACTGATGTTCAAGAACTAAAATAAACCTTATGGAAGTAAACACAAACGCCTATGTTGTCAGAGAATACCTTCTAGATCATCAGGCCCCGAATCAACTGCACCTTCGTTTTACCGTCAAAGTCCGTTCTGAATCTGATAACTATAATTACTGCGTTCACTTGACGCATCATTACGTACATATGGCGGCCGCTGCTCTGATTTTTATTGGTCGATGGACAGCAGGTAATACATGTAATTGGAAAGGTAGCCATATTACAACAGGTAAGTGGCAGGTGCAATGTATCTTAAAGGACGTTGTCCTCTATGGCTGCTTCAGTGGTCGCCAAGAAGAGAATGAGGTTTCCACAGTTCAGCAGACCAATTCTTTGATTTCTACACGTGAATGAATAACAGTTATGAGCATTTTCAAATTATCATTCGGCAACGTAGTCGCTCATTGTTGACTAAATTTTATCTAGATGTGGCGAAAGTCTCTCATTCCTTGGAAACGATTTCAATCCCGATTTTTTCACAATCACGTTTGCTAAATACTCTTTAGCATGAATGAGAATGCCATCAGGCGATAGCCTTGTGGAATTCTTAGTTTAAAAGTTTTTCAAACAAACTACAAAAAATATTTTTTCCCTCTGGACATTTTTTAGATTTCGTTTTTGGTTACTCTGAAGACAAAATATCGCTAGTAGGCATTCTCTAAGGTCGACCGGTTCCGGATTAAAAACGATTTAATATCTCGAAAAACCATAAGAATGCTCATTTTCAATGTCCCAAAGCTCGGTTGAAGATGCTTATTTTTGAGGTTGTCCAGTATCTAAATCCTGAAGTTCAAACCTTCCCTTACCCTTACCCTGATTCGCTCGGTCATTGATAATAAATGGGGATAAACTGAGACAAACATTAGGTAAATATTTATTAACGGTACAGCATATGAACAATTATGCTTAATTCGTGATTTTGGAACGTGAACATTACGAAACATTCTCTCCATCAAACAGCAACAATACCGGATGTTGAAAATAATGGGACACCTTGTATGAGTTCGGTTTTTCCAAGTAGTTATAGCGATTCGGGTAGATCCTTGGTTTAAAGCAAATACTTACTTGAGTATAATTGAAAATTTATTCTATTAACAATAATGATAATGAATAATAATAATAATGCTTTATAATAATCCTTTATTGCCCAACAGAAATTAATTCCATTTACAGGATGAGTCCACAAGAAGAAAATATCTACATGTTCGAAGAAAATAGAAAACAAAATATGTAAAAGAAGAAACGATTACAAAATGTTGTAATTAATAATTAATAATTCATCTAAGCATATCCTTCAGCTGACTTGTTCAACAAAGACCACACAATCAACATTGTTATCACACACGTCACTAATAATATTAAAATTAGATTGCATGAAGACAATGGAGAATTTAGTCCCAAATTTGTATTGCAGTAATCTAACTTAAAGTACGGGTAAAATCTAAGCCTAAGCAGAAATATTTGAGGGAACGCCTTTGTTCCTGCTCTAAGGAGGTCTTATAAGTTATATAGGATGGCTTCCAAACTAAATGTACATATTCTAACCTAGAGCGACATATGCACAATATAACTTTTTTTAAACATTTATAAACAGTTTCTGACTATAACTCCACAGAATTTGAATGCATCTGATATTTTTAGGGTGACATGATAGTTAAAGGCTGGTTTTTCATCGAACCATACACCCAGATCCTTTATGTGATCAACTCTTGGGAGATCACTATTCGCAACCTTATATTTATGTACAATTATCTGCTTTTTTCTTGAAATTTTTGCATTTTGATACATTAAAGTACAGCTTGTTAGCTAGACACCAATCATGGATCTGCTGTAGAATACGGCAATCTGAGATATAATTTATTGTTGTGAAGTTTATGTACAGTGAAAATAATAGGGGACCTAAGCTGTAACCCTGCAGTACACCTGAAGTTACTATACATATATATTCCTGAAATACAAAACCATTATAAAAAAGAAATTGTGAGCTATTTTCAAGATATTATTGAAAGAAATTAACCATTAAATTATCGAATCCAAAACTGGATATTTTGCTCAGTAAAATACCATGATCTATCCTGTCAAAATCTTTAGAAAAATCTGTATGGATCACATTCACTTGACCATGATTATCCAAACTATTATTGACAAACTGCGTAAAAGTAACCAAATTGGTGATTGTAGATCTACCCCTGAAATAACCATGCTAAGAAGTGGAAACTTGGCTACAGACCAGGGATCAATGTGGTCTTACAGAATCATTTCAGATACCTTTGAAAAATTTGACAAAACAGATATGACTCTATAGTTGTCAATTTCAGTCAAACCACCACTTTTGTGTACGGGACAGATCTCTGCCTTTTTCCAGGCTGTTGGCAATTTTGAAGATCTGAGTGCTAGGTTGATGATAACTGTTAAAGGAGCTGCAAGAACTCGAGCACAGTCTTTTACGAGAAAAGATGGACCCACAGCCAATTTGCTTTTCAACTTCTTTATTGTTCGCCATACATCGTCCTCAGAGACATTTGGCAAAGTAATGTTACTAAGGCTACAACTGACATTCCTTGAATTAACATTCGAATCGGATTTAACAAAAACACTCTCAAAAAATTGGCAAAAGGTTTACAATATCCTGGGGATCATTTGGTTGAACGGCAGCCAGCGACATATTACAAGGAATTCCTGACGAGCCTCTTTTGCTCCTAGTAAATGACCAGAAGTATTTAGGATTATTATGTATCCAAGTTTGAACGTCATCAATCTATTTTTTATAAACAATTGCAGCTTGTGACTTGATGAGCGACCTCTGCCTGTTATATTTTTCTAATAAATTAGTTTTCTTAAAGTTTTTGTGACATCTGGGTTTGGCTTTTATATTCTTGATGATATCAGAAGTATACCATTTCAAAAAATACCTTCTATGCCGCTATATATCATTGTCACTAAAGTTATCTAATGAACATATTTGGATTTTAATTAGTTCGATATTGATAGTATTTTTTTTTTGGTGTATTAGCTTGCTCCATAGTATCTTCTGCACTAAAATGTGATCGTAAAATTGGCACTTACAACGGGTATCCTTCCTAAGAACTTTCTCCGATTCAAAATTGAAAATATGTAGATAAAGTTAAAATGTATTTTAGTTCAGTCAGATTAAAGCTTCTGCTTGCCCTGTTCAGTATCCTCGAAAAAATCTGGTTTTCCAAAGAATTTTGTTGATATTTGTTACCACACACCACTTTGTTTTTGAATACTTGGATGATCCTTCAATATTTCAACTTGTATTTTTTGTTGCAGAAAATGGGCTGCCTAGGAGGTTACGGACTGCATACACGAATACGCAATTATTAGAGTTAGAAAAGGAATTTCATTTTAACAAATACCTGTGTAGGCCTAGGAGGATAGAAATTGCTGCCTCGCTGGATCTTACGGAACGACAGGTAAGCATTTATTATTGGATGGACTAATATTATTCCTGAACCTACGCGGGATTAGAGGCATTATTTCTTTAAATGAAAATAATACGCCACTTTTTTTTCGAAATGCGCAATTTTTAGAATTTTACCTTTAATTTGCTACAAAAAATTACTCTTGTGTGTGTTTCTAGAGTGCATTGTTTTCGTATAAATAAAAATAAACCAAACTAGATCATTTATGGAGAGCCGAGATACAATTAGTTTCAAAATAAAATAGGGGGCTTTGATACGAACTTGACGGTTCTTGGGATATAATTTATTAAAGTTATGTGTTATACGGTTGTCATCGTTACTATTACTATTTCTTTTAAACAAGTCAAGTCAAAAGTTTCTTTTTTCCATATCTGAGTGTTGTGAAATGGAATTTAGCAATGATGAGTACTCCGATATTACTTTTGTGTACGGTTTCTGTAATGGAAATACTTTATGGGATACACAGGAGTATCAACGTAGATTTCCACAGCAGACGCCAACCTATCCCAAAGGTTTTTACGCGTTCATTTCTAAGACTTCGGCAATATGGTGTTGCCGAACGAATGTGCCCCTCCGCATGTTCGTCGTGATATAACCGCATGGTTAAATAGCCATTTTAGACAATGATGGATTGGCAGAAACGGACCCGTACATTGGCCTGTGAGGTATCCTGATTTGAACCCCATGGATTTATTTTTGTGGGACGCTATCAAACAACTACTGTATGATGAACAAATGAACAAATTAATACTGTTGTTCTGTTACAAGAAAGAATAGATAATGCGTTTCAGCAAATTCAAACCACAACAAATTTTGCAGAAATGCGTATTTCTTCATTAAAGAGATGCCGCACTTCTACCCATCAGAATGGTGGTATTTTTATACATTTGTTGAAATGAAACTTTGATCATCTAATTTATTTTTCTTCTTCTTACGAAGACAATGCACTCTAGGATAAAACATAAGTAATTATTTGTATCAAATTGAAGGAAAAATTTGAAGAATTACGCGTTTCGAAAAAAAAGTGGCGTACTATCTTTATTTAGAAAAATAATGTCAGTAATCCCCTGCATATCCGCCACTGGTGCACGTTAATTATAAGCAAAGACTTTTGAATGTGGACAATACTTAGTTAAATCCACATACCAAATTTTAGTTTATTCCAATTAACGATTTTGAAGATAATAAAAAAATTGTTATTCATTTTTAAACTTCACCACCCCCAATCTTTTTAGTGAAGCCTTCGAGGGAATCATGTTATACAGAAAAACTCGCTGTCCTATGTATGATGTTCGTTTTTGGTCACGACTTGTATATGCATGATTTAAAAATGATTGTTAATGTCCGTCTTTTGTTGTTTCTCATTATCTACATAAATTTATTTTTATTTTGTTACCGATGTTGTATAATGTGGAATATCAAAACAATCTACATGACTCAAATATTTTATTACGTTTTCTGAAAAAGGCCAGCTGTCCCTTATAGAACGTCAGATTATGTAGAAATAAAGCATAATGTCGTTCGTCATGCAGCCAAAGCTCACTTTGATAAATATACTCAATAAGTCGGTTCTGAGAATATCCTTCACCCAGACGTCAAAAAAGCGAATTATCCATTAATATTACTCTGGATAGTTAGATTTATCATAACCTTCACTTCTAGCCTGGAAGGCTGAAAAAAAGTCAAATCCGAAGCGGCACTCTTTTTTGTTGAACCTAACATGTGTGCTGCATGCCTGAACGCCCTCCCTAATTTTTGTTTCAATTTTAAAGCGTGTCCGTTCGTAATTTTACAAATTATCCGATTCGACGTTATAGATATTTTGGATGTGGCGTCCGATGCCGGTGCATGATTAATGATTTTCGTCTCCGATAATACATAATATAACAAAAAGCGCCGCTGATGTTGTCATTAATTTAGCGTAAAATAACAGGTTAAGCGGAAAAAGTATGTGGCGTTACGCGCGGCGGTCCCAAATGCCAAAAAGCTCGACAAAATTATTGAAGTTGCAAGAAGTTAAATACCATTGGGACAGATTATGCTACAGATAATGACGTAATCAACCGGTCAATGATTATAATGCTTAGCTAAGTTTGGCCAACAACGTTAACACTCATTCAATTAGGGCAGTATTGACCAGAGATAATTTTAATGCCTCTCTAGTAGCGAACGATACTATACAGAGTGTTTTCTTTTCTGGGCTCCCATTAGTAGTTTTTTGAGACAACCGAGTATTCACTTCATTAAAAACTAGCACGGTATGCTAAAGAAAATAAATTATTACATTTTGTTTCAATGTGATAACCTTTACTAAAGTTTGACTAATTACTGTGAAAAAAATGTACCAGACTAAATCGGCTAATGATCTCAAAAACTTAAATTCACTTAGATTTTTTGCTAAATCATCTAACTATTCTTTCGGAAGACGTGCCTCTTGAGACAAGAAGAAGGGCGAGTGTACAGAATGATGGGTGATCTGCACACTATGCTAGTGCTGTAAGGGACTATCTTGAAACATTCCCTACAAGATGGATTGGCTGGCTAAGACCAATTTTGTGGCACTCACGCTCCCCAGACTTGAACCCTCTGTTTTTCTTACTGGAGAGGTTTAAAGGTTAGGTCAGCCGATGAACTGAGTTATCGAATCCGTCAAGCAGCACGCAAAATATCCGATTTAAGTTTGAGAGGTTTAAGAGGACAATTTTTAAGAAGATGCAGGTTGTATATAAGAGTTGATGGTAGACATTTTGATAATCTGTTGTGAAAATAATAATACTAATCATTTATTTCAGGCAGTATTTACAGTACAAAATGTTAATTTAATTTTCGTTTAGTTTACTTAAGATGTTAATAGTGATTTCTAATTCTTTATTTAATTTGAATGTTGTAAAAATCAATGGAATAAAAAAATACAACCTAATGTTCGGCTCATCATTTTGATGCCTGCATACCACAATGAATAAAAAAGGACAATGGATAGCTGTTTTAGACATTTGCTAAAATAAGAAGTTATTACAGCAACTACAAAGTTGTAATTTAGACACAAAAGACTGCTGCACTTATTATTTTTTATTTGTAGTATTTCGCAAGTAATACGACTTCGATAAGAAAAGTTGTAATTATTCAGTCTTTAGTAAAAAGAACCTACGAATCTTATATTATTTTTGAAAGAGCATTAAATAGCTAGTTTTTAAGGTCATTTGCTGATTCAATCTGGTACATTTTTGTTCACAGTAATTAGTCAAACCTTAGTAAAGGTTTTCGCATTGAAACCAAATGTAATAATTTAGTTTTTATAACATACCGTACTAATTTCTCATGAAATTAAAACTCGGTTGTCTCAACCAACTAATAATTGTAGCCCAGGAGAAAGAAATCATAAGTTAGAAGTTCTTTATAGCCAAAACAGGAAAAAAGGAGCAAAAAGTAGCTATTTTTTGGAAAAAACTTAAAGGTGGCAATATCTCGAGTACCAGAAAACTTTTACTAAGGTCACGTTGATTTTATCTGATTAATCTGTACCCAATCCACTTCCTGTGTCACTCTGGCGTGTTATTTGTGGGACACAATGTATGATATGATGATGGTATATCTAGAGATATTTCGCTAAGATCACCGTGAACTCTGACGAAATGCGTCGCTAATTTGTGGGAAACATTGATGACATTGTATAAACTTGACCGGATGTTAACAAATTGATTTCAGCCCTTGATAAATATGGCAACCGTATTATTAAGGATAAACAAACAAGGACTATTGTCGTCAACTTCAGGTACCAATTTTAACATTTTTGTTTATATTATTTTATCTTTACGTTTTAAGTCTTCTTTTTCCCTTTCTGGAAGCCACTGGACTAAATTCCCCGATGTCACCGCAACCTATTGAGCTTATTGTATCTTGCCTCTCGAATTTGCAGTACCCAACCCAGCAGTCTAGTTTTCTGTTGCAGTTGGTACAGTTTCCCTACGTATTCCTTGTGTTGATCTCTCTTAAATTCTTGGACTTCTTTATTGTGCTTTTCTTCACACCCTATAAAGGGTATGGATTATCCTTTCCGTGCGAACTGATCCACCCTTTAATTGCCTGCATTACATAAATGTCCTGGCGTCCACATCAAAGTTACAATGTTGTTTTCCGCCAGTGCGTTTGGTTCATTTTGACATTTCCAAATGAGCGAATATGTCACTCTAGGACTTCTTAATGCTTTAAGTGATGCCTGACTGTCAGTAATAGGTATACGGCTATCCTTTTTTATTACTGTGCGGTCCCCTCTTGCGAAGTACGGAGTGGCATACGATTCTGCCTGAAATGCAGAGGTGTGTCTCCCAAGTCGTATACTATGCCCAGGATTACACCCATATACAGGGTGTTCCTTAATGATATGCGAATATTTAATGGTGTGAATCTACATGAAAAATTAATGTTAGTTTGCTTTATAAACTATGTTTCCTTACAAAAACTCGAGGTGTTGGAGTTTTAGGAAAAAAATGGAAATTAATTAATATTTTCAGAACCGCTTCAGATATTTCACTGATATTTAGTACGTAGTGAAAGTTAATAAAACTGCATATTTTTCAATGCCAAAATAACGTTTAGCTTCAACAGTGGCGTGCGTACGGTTGGCTTCGATATTTTTTAAGAAAAAAAGTACGCCAATGTTTTTTGTTAAATAAAAATTATTTTTGGATTCCATGTTCAATTTAAAACAAGTCATCTCTTTTGAATTGTTTTCCTTTGATGCGCCATTTTTGAGTAAAAAAATAAAAACCGTTCTATCGTCTAACATGCAAAATTATCAATTTAATTGGAAAAATTAAAAACATTAGGGGTAATGAACAACAACAACTGACAACATAAACATAACATTAAAACCAACGAAATGATTACAAAAATTGTTGAAAATGGCCCCTTCACTTAGTATGCATGCTTCCGCCCTCCTTCTCATGGAATTGCGCACTCGTTGAAATATCCCTGGTGTGTTTTTTTATTCT